TGTTGTGCCTATATGTGCAACTAAGTTTATCAAATCTAGAACTAACTCGAATTTTGACGGTTGTCACACTAAGCGTATCATGTGGTATGTCCCGCGTACTCGCTTCACAGCTTGTACGCTAAGCGTACCATGTGGTTCGCCCTGCGTACTGCCCAAGGACCAAAAAATGCAACTTTTATAATAATAAAGGCAATAAAGAAACATACCAAGATTCAAGTGTTACATAACAGCTGAGTACGCGGGGCGTACTCAGCCAACTTGACCTTCCCTTGATTTTTGACTTTTGACCTTGACCTTTGACCTGGAGTTTGACCAAGTTTGACCTAAGGGTATTTTAGGTATTTTGAACTATAGTTTGATTCTAGGTCACTGTTTGTTGTGTAGGTGACCTGTAGAGTTGACTGTGGACTAACATTCATTACTGCTATCTTTTCAGCCGATGAGGTGAGTTTTCCTCACTGTACCTGTGGGTCAAAGGCACCACTGTCGGCCGAGTAGATTGTGTATTATGGTTTGGAATGTTGCTATATTGTATTGAACTGTTGAGATCTGTATGATTATCTGATTGTTGTTATGTGTTTATTTGTTTTACATGTTGACATTGTGTGTTTGGGTTGAGACTGTACTGCTTTGTGTTGCCAGTCAACAAACCCGGGCAATCCAACCAAAAGGTTATGGGTTGGTGGCAACCCAACTGTGAGGTTGTGTGCCGGAAGGGGGCAATCCAACCATGAGGTTGTGGGCCAGGGCAATCCAACAGGAAGGTTGTGGGCCATGGGTAATCCAACTGGGAGGTTGTGGACTCGGTATGTATTATTTTCTATATGTTTTGTTGTGTGCTATTTAGGGTAAACTCACTAATCTTTCGCTTACAATTTAAATTTTATGTTTCAGGTACTTTAGATGATCAGGGAAAACAAATACGTCATGTACATCCCTCTGATTTTTATGATATATGATTTTGAGATACTCTGATTCGTGATTATTACTTTTGGGAACTATGTTTTGTAAACAATTATGATTTTTGGTTGAATTTTAAAAATGAAAAATTTACCTTGATTTTTGGGATGTTACAGATTTGTTTGTTTTCACTTTTACAAAATTGCCCTCCACAAATTGGATCATTTTACACAGGAATGGAAATGAATGATATGCATACATCTTCAAATCATCATCTCTGCGATCGACATCTGTCCAATGGTTTCAATTTCTAATAATGAGACAGTAAATAATTTTACGAATCTAATATTGTAAGTTTTAAATTGTTATTGTTATTATTATTATTATTATTATTATTATTATTATATGATAACTTTTTTTTTACCACATAATTACATCCTTGAATTTTTTTTCTTATTATGACATTGTACTTTGTGAAAAATGTTTTGTATATAAATGATCTTGCTATAATTTGATATATTTCTTAAAGTGGGATGCTATAATAGGAAAAATAAAAATATGATGACATAATAAACAAATCAGTTAACAGTTAACGTACATTACAAAAATGATCATTGTGTAAGAAAGTTACCCACATGATCCGTGTCTAAGAAAGTTACAGAAACAATCCCTATATATGACAAATTTACAGAAATACCGTCCTGTGGTTCACACATGATCACCTCCTAGTTCTTTAGTAAAATATAGGTGGGACACATTTTATCTAGGATCCATGTCTACCTATTTTTCTATATAGTATTTGCCAATGACCACATGCTTCATTTCTATAGTTTTGTTTTTAAATAATTTGTTGTGTATAAGATAAGATTACCCCAAAAGATTTTAAAATCTAAATATTACAATAATCTTTAAACATATTAATATGGCCATGAAATAAATGTCTTTGGACATACTTTTTAATTGGTGTGCACATTATTTGATTGATAATATTTCATGTTGACGAGCCTTTTTTACTATAGTTTACCACAAACTTCACTCTTTTCCTACTATAAAACTATCCTCAATTTTTGCACTCACATAATACTGTTCCCAAGACATACGGACACTTCATATTATGTAGTATTTCGTTCTAATTTCTAAAACACCAGGTTGTGCGTTATCATAAAGAGTATATATATATTAGTGGACATCTAACATTAGGGAGGAGGGAGTCGTTCCCTCCCAACCCACCGAACCCACTGTCACATCATTTTTTCTCTTTTATTTTTCTTCATCTTTCCGAACCTACAACACACGGAAATCCTATCTTTTTGAACCCACTCAACCCACTCAATTAAAAAAAATACAAAACAACT